TGTGTGAAATTGTGTTAGATTTTTGAGAACAATATTTATGTTTATACATATGTGATTAATGGTAATGATTGAGAGCATGTCATTATGAGAATGATGAATATGCAATGTAACATCCTGATTTTTATATAATAAAGAAATTGTGGAATTTAGGTTTTGAGGAAAAAAAATGATAATAATAGAAATTTATATTATTTGAGGTTATTTAGAAATAATATTATGATTAGGTATTTAATTATGAATTTAAAAATTTAAATTTAAAACCACATAAGCAATATTTAGTTAAGATATAATACATAAATAATTTTTTTTATGTGTGTGTTAAAAAAAAGAGAAGGTAGAAGGAACAAAAAAAAGGGGGGGTGGAAGGTTGTTGTTTCTAAGTCCCACATTGGTTAGATGAGGGAAGAGAAGAGGTGCCTTCATGTATAAAAAGGAGGGGGTATGTGCATTAGGAAGCATGAGAGGCTAAGATGCAATTTAGAGGAAATTGCAACCTTTGGCCCAAAGGTTTGAATAATTAAATTCAAACCTATAGTTTTTTTAATATAATTTTGGGACTCATATCCCATTTTTATATTATTTTTCTCTCTTCCTCTCACGTTGCTCGGCATTTTTCTCGCAAGGGGGGATTATTTTCTTTTTCTTCAGGTATGTTCTAACTTTCCTGTTTAGATTATCATTTAAAAATTTATTTAATTACAAAATTAATTTTATAGTTATTTTCTAAATAATATTAGCTTTCTAGTGATATGATTATTTTATAGGATAGAGTAAATATTCTGATTAGGATTTTTTTTCTATAGGATAGTTAATCTGATGATATGATGGATTAAAAATATAGGTTAAAATTCTTAGGGATATAATAAATATTATAGAATATTTTCTTGAGGTTGAAACTCATGTTTAAGAATTTTTGAGTTAAAATCTAGATCTATATGGTTGAATTTATGTGGAATCTGAGATGTAGGGATAAACCTATGATTATTAAATATTTATTTAAGTATAAATAGGTATTTTGAGGTTATAGAAAGGTGATCTGAGGCTTTAGGATAATTTTAAAATTTAATTTATTTTAGGACGAATTTTTAGAATATAGAAGGATGAAATTGTGATACTAGAAGTGATTTGAGGATTAAAAAAATAGTTTATTAGGGTATGAGAATTTTAGAAAAGAATTTGAGAAGTTAAATGCGGCATAAATCTTAAATTAGTGTTAATATGGATTATAGATCTAAGACTTTCTAATTATTTAAATTAGAGTTATTTATTTTAATGTAAAATTAATATATAGTATTGTGAAATAATTATGTAGATTATATTGACAAAGATAGTGGTGAAAAAGGAGTTGTGAAGGGGAACTTGTTATTCAAGACACAAGGTAATCATTATTAATGTGTTGTGATGAGTGTGTTTGTGAATGGTTATGTGTTGTTTTTTTGTTTGGAAAAATTATGAATTATTGAAAATAAATACTGTTATATACTTGTTTGAAATTATTGTCAAGTGGGTTAAAAATTTATTTTTGTTTATCATGATGAGATATTATTGTTCGGATATATTTCTGTTTAGATATTTGAATGATGCATGACTTGTCAGGGTATTTTAATGTATGGTGTTAATGGGAATTTCTGTTCAGTTAATTATTACCACGTGGTAAGCCCTCATTGGACCCAATGAGTGGCGTGTCGCTTGGTCCAACTCACCTTTGGCCGGGTGACTTGGCGTCCGAGCATGGTGAAAGGAGGATATAAGGTGTAGTCATGCAATTAAATACTTGTTCGGTTTGTTTGAAAATATTGTTTGTTAAATGTTTTGTGTGCCCACTTAGCAATCGCATGATTAGTTACATCCGCATGCATCATTACATATTAATTTTTGGTTATTGGGACTTTCAAGTCTCATTCCCCGTGGTTAACATTTTTACAGGAGCGAGTCCGACCGAGAAAGCACCAGAGGTGTAATTATGGTGTATGGGACACTATCTTTTACGTTGCCTCTTATTTTGGATTATACAATGTATCTTGTGCCAACTTAGGACATATCTTCTTTGTGGAGCATGTAAACTCTAATCTTTTTTATTAAAAGTATTTATATGATCAGGAGGATTATATCCGTCCCTCTTGATTTATGATCTGATTTGAATATCATGCCATGAGGATCATGTCTGTCCCTCATGGTTCTAATTGCTTTTTTGAGATATTTTAAGACCTGTGGTATATTGTCTTGGATGTATTATGGTAGAAATTTTTCTACCATGATAAGGGTATGATAAGGGTTCAATGAAAAAAAAATAATTTGTTGAATTAATAATTTGCGAAAAATCAGTTTGTAAATTTGAGGGTGTTACATGCAATATTTGGTATATGGAGTATAATGGAGAAAGAAAATTGTGTGAATATGATGTGATGTGATTGATGTCATTGAATGGCATGTAAATTGTCAATTTGTGCATGGCATGATTATTTAGGCAAGAATTCACTTATAGGAAGAGAAGTAATTGTATTAAACCCACATGATAATGACGGCTTATCATTGAAATTGGAAGCTTGTGTTGGCACATAATGTTGGAATTGGGAAGTAGCCATTATTTCATGGTTGATTAGGGATTATCCTACTTATTTTTTAAGGGACTCACACCTAACTAGTCTCTATTAGTTTATGAAAAGACTAGATTAAGGGTACGACACCTATGATTGTTAGTATTGGGAGAATCGTGGATCATAAGTGAGTGTTTCGCCCTAGCTCGATAGCTCCTTATAAATGAAAAGCTGGGTTAGTTTGAGTTGAGGACGTAACCACTAAAGAGTCACCAATTTCATGTTGAAGATATCAGGAGAATATAAGTTAGAATTGATCATGCATTCTATTTTTGACCACATAGTTGTTATTATTGTGGTTTTGTGTGTTTTCTATTAGAGGTGCATGGTTGTTATTATTGCGACCCTATGATGTGCATTTTGAAATTATGTGATTATATATGTTTATACCCAGTAACATGATTGTTGATTTTGTAGTTGAGGCTATATTCAAAATATATGCATATAATGTTTGTGAAATTATTAATTGTCATTTGCATTTATAATTAATTGATATACAACTATATAGGTTAGATTGACCTTAATTACTAAGTGGTTGTACTCACCCTCTCTCTTTCAATATTACAAGAACTAGCTCATCAGGACAAGACTGAGGGAAATAGTAAGAGGCTTAGGATTTCTATCCTAAATTTGTTGGCCTCATTTATTTAAGAGTTTATGTGTATAATTTATCTTAATAATGCCAACTAGGAGATTGCATGTTTTTGCTTACTTGCATTATTTGACTCTTGATCTAAGTTGTGTACTTTCGGCCTTAGATTGTATGTGAATTAAATGTGAAATTTAAATAGGGCTAAAATACTTGTACAAGTAAGAAGTGAGTATACTTATGAGTAATAGTAATTTAGATAAGAGATTACATGATTGAGACTCCCCCTATCATTTTTGAGATTAAGGGGTTAAACTTTGAAAATATGTTATATATGTTATTGGAGTATTGTGATCTGTTGCATAGGTCTTGTTAAGTCCATTGAATATAGTTTAGGAGTGGTTTTAAGTCTATGACACTTAGTTGTGATTTTGGACACCCTAGTTATATTTTAAAAGTATAAATAAATAAGTTCACATTTTGGTGTCTAACTTTTGATTGAAAAATAATTTGAATGTGAAACCAGTGCCATTAACTAGAGCTTAGAGAAAGTTTTTGATAGACACTTAGATTATCTCAATCAAATATCGAACGGAGAAATGAGTTGCGTTGAAAGTTTAGTTAAAAAATCTACCATAATAGCTTTTTGCTATCATGGATTTTTACATTTTATGCTGTAGCATATTATGTTAGGATTATTATTTTTGCTCTTTTAATTTCAATTTAATGTTATCTTACCTTATATGATATCCATGCTTTTATATACATGTTTTACTCTAATTTTAGTTTATGAAATAATTTTTTAACATGTTGAGTTTTAAAAACTTGGAACTCCATTTATGTAAATTTTACAAACTTAGTAATTTACTTAAGTTAGTTTTATAATTACCTCAATTATGAAGTTAATTGTGAATTAATAAAAGAGACCTAACAGGTATCAGGTTAAACTTTTGGCACATTGGTTGATTTAAGATATCCTTATTATTGTTAAGTGTGAAAAGGTAATTTAATTGCATTCGGGTGTCTAACTTGTTGATATGAAATAATTTGAGCTAGAACTAGTGCCATTTGCTAGTTTGTGAAAGAATTTTCTGTGAACATCTAAATTATCTTAATTGAGTGTTAGATAGAGATTTAGGGTGCATTGGAAGTCAACCCTCGAATATGTCATTGATCAACATCATGTTGTTTGATTATGTGCAATGCATTGCAGTCCATCATGAGGGATTGTCTTTTGGCCATGGCACATGACTCAGTCTATGAATTTTTAATGTTTTCAACTTATTTTTATATATTTAAATTATTATTTAGTATCACATGTTTCCATATATAATTATACTTTGATTTACATTAGTTTTAACTTTCGAAAACTTGGGATTCCAATCTCGGCTTCTTTATGGTTTTAAAATGAAAATGATTTCTTGGTTTTGATTAAGCAACCAGGTAATAAGGGTGTTATTAAAATCAAGCCTAGTCCAAGAAACTTATTTGGACCACTTTAAATATTTAAATTATTAATTTTTATTCTTTAATAAAATTTTAAATTTTATATTAAAATTAATTATTGTTATTATTATAAAAAATATATAACAGACTTTAGAGACACTTAAAAAATTTTTAAGAAAAATTGTGATTAAATTTAAAAATAAAGATTAACATATATTTTTATAATTATTTTAAGAATACGAAACTTATAAATTTTAAAAAAGTATTTATAACAACGTAATCAAATATAGTTTTCTAATATAAAAAAAATTAAGTTCTAAATTTTTTTAATAATTAATGTGTAAGGCCGAAGGGTAACCCAATATGGCTGAATGTAAGAACAAATCTTTTGCAAGCCTGTTCTTATTGTATGAACGCGCTGCGAGTTTGCTTTCCCTTCGGAGGAAAAACTAAAAAGAAGAGCAGTAAAGATCTCCCAGCTCCAACAATAAAAGCCAGAAAAGAAGAAGCGAGATTGAAGCGGGTGACGATCAGAATCCACGGAGATGAACTGATGAAGAAGTGAAGAACGAAGGCAGAGGAAATGCCAATGGGGATCTGACTCTAGATCTGAGCTCATGGGTTCTTCTTAATCAGATCTAAAGTCTGAACAAACTTGGCGAGCCAAGAAGAAAGGAGAAGACCGAAGGCAGACGAAGACAAAGCCTGAGCTCCATCAATTAGTTTTGCATGGTGGTCATCCGTCAAAATCTAGACTCTGAACTACGTCGCGCAAAATGCATCTGTCAATTGGATGTCACTAATGTTGAATTTGGACATTCAATCTCCTGAGCCATACAGAATGAACAGTCATATGAAAAATATCAAATCTCTTTGGGGGGTCATTGGGCACAAAATGTCTCTGCACCTGTTTCACTCTTCTCTGCATTCTCAGATACTGCCTCCGAGAAATTCCCATGAGTATCTTCTTTATGTTGGCTATGTCCTTTACATCTATCTGCACTGAAAATGACTTCCAATTCAAAACATCACTGAAGGGTGGCACGTACCTATCTGAAATCAGAACTGGCACACATTCTGTAAACACGGCTTCCACTATTCTGGGGCTTGCCACTTCATACCCACTTGGACAGAGGCAGAATCTGCTGTTTCTAAGCATATCGTAGTAAGATACACCCTTGGGAAGCTGTTCATAGACCTGCACATCTTGGTCTTTGCCTTTCCATTGCTGGAAAAGAAGGTACCTTATATGGCCGTGAAGACGACCTGCGAAGAAAGCGAGGATGTTCCTGCGAGATGGAGAATAGCCTCCGATTAATCCTGTGATTTCACCTGTTATAAGATTAATTTCTGGGAGTGTAGCGTCCTTCGCAGGGTTGAATCCTTCTGACGTATTTGCATTGCACAGAACCCTTATTGAGTTGTGGAACAATTGAGGTACTTGAGAAGTTGCACGAGGCCCCTGTGAAATGTTCCCAAAGATTTCATTAGTGAGTCAACATGGTACCCTTTTGGAATGTTGACTGGTGGGACATGCATGATGTTTCGATGTAGAAGTTCTTTGAAAAGTAATTTAGGATCCATGAAGGCGTTTTCCACTTAGTGATGATATAGTGCAATGATATCATAACAAAAACTCTAGGATGACGAAGAACAACATCCTTCGTTCCCTATTTTGGTCGAGAAACTACAAGTAGAGTTACTGTTGCAAGTTTAAGATCAAATGGAGAGTTTATTTAAAAAAAATAATTTATTGAGGGTAAAAGTATACTGAATCTTACAAATCTCATTCTCTTATAAGGCTCAGTTGACATAGGACCTATAATAATGTACTCTCATTCAAGATATGAAATCCTCGTGAGTATTCCTTTAACATTGGTATTTCAATAAAAGTACCAATATCATGAGAGCTAGTATCCCAAAAAACTAACATGTATGGTAGAAGAATCTCTTGAACTTATAAATCTTAATTCACTCATGGCTCTCAACGTTGAACTCATAATAAATGCACAACAATAGTATGAGTTATGAATAAGGTTTGCTATAAAAAATCTGAATTTTTGAAAACTTTAAGCTTCATTTCATATCATATGAATATGATGCTCTGTTTCTCGTGCCAAGATGAGAGGGAGGGAGAAATCTTATAGTTTTTACCCAATCATGGCAAGAGAGCATGAAATGGTCAAATCCCATGCTTCGATTCCAGAAGGGGTATTTACGGGATAGAGTCTGTATGTAGTCAACCACAGGATAGCCAAAGGAATTTCTATCACCGGACACTCCATAAATATGTTCCACCATCATAACCACACTGAAGGGCAAGAAATAGACAAAAGCTTCATCTGGATCATCAGTACGATAATGCCTCCCCCTTTCGAGTTCGTGTATGAATCTTCCTTCTGACGAGTATATGTTCTTGCATGGTCCATCATGGAACAGCGGAGGCTCCCCTTCCTCGTACACAAATATCTTGAACACCTTCTCCATCTCCAGGTAACTCCTGTGCAGAATTATTTATCATAATTAATTATCAGTAGTCACAGTTTTGTAATGTTCAAGGCTTTCATGTGAGGAAGAGGTTGTACTGTACCTGTGAAAAGCATTGGGGTTTCTATACATTGGTCCTCGAGGAACGAAGTCTGGGTCTTGGTGGATTGATGTCAAGTTTCGAACTTTGCTAGCTTCTCTAATGGAAGATCTCGCTTGGGCCAATCTCGCTTGAATCTTTTTCAGCTTCTTGTCCTTCTCATTAGTAATAATGCTCACTTCTTCTGTGCCTTTACGGTTCAATTCTTCGTCAAGCTTTTCACCTACCTATGGACCCACCGACAAAAAGAAGGATGAGAAAGTGGGACAAAGAAAAGAAGAAAAGAAAAAGGAAATCGAATGCCGAAACAGTTTTGATGAAGTTCTACAAAGTTGTTGGAAGTGGCAGTTTTCATTTGTCCCAAACTAGAAGAGACTTGCACTTCTGATATTTCTGTGGAACCTGAAGTATTCAAAGAAGGTGGAGAATATGGAGGTTTTGTTTTCATTTGTCCGGAAGTAGATGAAACTTGAGCTTCTGATGTTTCTGTTGAATCTGAAGTATTCAGAGACGAAGGTGGAGAATGTGGAGGTTGTGTTTTCATTTGTCCGGAAGTAGATGAAACTTGAGCTTCTGATGTTTTTGTGGAATCTGAAGTATTCAGAGACGAAGATGGAGAATAGGGAAGTTTTTCTTCGTATAAATTAGAGGATGCTGGGAAAATCCTCCCAGGAACAATAGCTAAGGAGAAACTTGCTGGGTGGAAACTAGTAATGAGCACGAGAAATAATGAAGATGACAGTATGATGAACAGAACCACAGAATCAAAAGAGAAGGTTTGATTTTCAGAAACTCTCATCTTTAGTTCTTCACATTACTATTTTCACATATCGCCGCCCTGCACCTTCCTATTAAGTATCGAGCGGTCAACAGTGAAGTAATATGGGGCTGGGATTCATTTGTTGATGCCTGGAGATTCTTTAATGTATACTGAGACAAAGATAGTTGGGTGAGCCTAATAATGTTCACATTTTTCTAAAACAATTTTGTTTAATTATTGAAATTGATATGTAAATTGTAAATGGTATTTAAAAGGGCCTTTCTACTTTTTCCTCTCTAAGATCACTCGATTATTGCATGTTATTATTTGAGACAGTTCATTAGACTTTGGTTTCACCTTTTTTTTTTCTTGGGCCAACAACGTTGGTTTCACTTTAAACATTGAAATATTGGAGCCGTGCATGCAAGCTACAGGCATGCATGCTTTTGTGTTCTTTTTAGTTGATTATTGTTTTATATAAAATAAATCAATAAAAAAGATGATTAATCAAAATTTCTATTCCGAGAAAGATGTGATAAATTATTTATAAATGTCCATTTTCCCTGATTGGAAACGAATAACATATCATTCGTTTAGATGGGATTACTCTAACAATTGGGTTATTAACAGGACGGAGTGTTAAAAATACAAGAAGTACATTTTATAAATTTTGTATTGCAAGAAACATTTTTTTTGAATGTATTACACGAGTTCTAATTAAATCAAAACTGCACAAAGGGGATTAATGTAAATTTCGTAATTGATATTGAACTATTAATTAATATAAATAATAATATTGATTGACATTGATATTTATTTATTACATATTTTATAGGAAAAGGAAAACATTCCGTAGGGGACCATAATGGATAATGGGAGAGGAAAAATGGAATTAAGTGAAAAAATGGGAGGCCGTAGAAAGACGAGAAAGAAGATAATTAGATAAACAAAGAGGAATAGGTGGCCTAGATTTAGATTTCAAATCTTGGATCCTGGATTTCTTTAAAGAGACCGAAAATAAGCTTTTGGAGTTATTTCCTATGGTCCCAATATCGAAGGAAGGCCGGAAAACGATTTTCACTCATGTGAAAGGCAAGGAGAAATCCCATAAAATACACTATGAATGTATATTTTTTTTTTGTTACATTTTTTTGTTCGGTGTAGTATTATAACATCATATCCACCAAGGAATCTCAAGATGTTTTGATATTTTTAGAATCAAATGATAAATTTATCTCGAAACTTTTGCATGCGCCAGATATTTTAAATTTTTTATTAAAATAATATTATCTTTTAATTTTTAAAAAGAATGCAATCTCGCTCTATTTTAATCCCGAAACAACATTCATTGTTAAAATCCTTAATTTGACTATCAAATTTACATGTGGCAAGTTAAGCATGTGACTAGACCCCACGTGTCACCTTCCCTGTTCACACGACTCTCTCTCTCTCTCATTTTCATCTTCCCCTCGTTCTTCGTCCAGATTCTCCTCCTTCCCCTACTCCTCTCCCCTCAGTCCTCACTCTCACTGGTATCGACTAACTGAGGGTAGGCATCATGGCGGTGTTCCTCCTGAAGGGAAGATCTACACTCGTAGGTCGGTGTCTCTCCTCTGTCGACAACTTTACCTTCACTTTGCCCTGTGGCCACCCGGAGTTTGGTCACTCTCTTTCCCCTTATTTCTTCTTCCCGATCACCATACCTGTTTGTTTCTTGGGAATTTTGAATTTTTCTTTTTTCTACGTTCAAAAAGAGCTTGAAGGAATGTGTAATTAGAGAAGTGAAAGAGGAGATGAGGCTAGAGATCGCGAAAACAGTTCAGCGTTGCTAATGATTGTGAGGCTTATTAATTTGGTCTTCTGAATATTGTTTTGAATTTAGAGGAACGAAGAAATGGCCACCACAGTACGCTCCCTTCCCTTCACTAATAAAAATATGCAAGTAATTATAATAAAAATATCTCTAAGTACAATATTGGACAATGGCCCTTCATTCATTCATTTCTCCTATGAGATTAATTTCTATCCATCAAATCAAGCTCCTTTGGCCTTGTGAGAATGACATGAAGTAGGTGAGTTGGATCCGCCTTCACTCGTGCTTCCATTGCCAGATTGAAGAATTTGCAGGTTTATTATTAACTGGTGGCGACATGGGAGACGTTAGAGGGTGGTGTTTGTGATGATGGTGTTGGTGTTTTGTGGTTCCTCGAATCGTGAAGCAGCAGCCTCGCCCATTTCTCACGAACGGTCGACCATGGTAGTTCTGCTATGATTGGTTAGCCTCTCTATAGCCACTGCTCCTTGGGTGGTCAGGATGATGGTGTTTGCAAGTGAAAGATAGGGTGATACAAGCCCAAAAAAATCCATGTGGACCCATCTTTTGTCCCTCTCAGCAAATATATCTTGCCACGTGGGATTTTATTGGTCAACAAAGTTCATTCACCGTGCATATGGGTTAACAGTGGGGTAAAATTGCACACCTTCAAAAGTTGAAGGATTACATTACTCTAATAAAAAGTTTAGGATATTAGGCTTGATGAAAAAGTTTCAAGATAAATTTACCTTTTAATCCTATATTTTTATTTTATATGACTATATATTTTAAGATTTGATCTTAAAATTTTACAATAAGTTGATGATTTATTTATTTATTTATTATTTACATCTCTCGACTGATATTTGCTATCTTGTAACCATCACTTGAGTTAGATTATATGGTAATCAATATTGAGGTTCAACTAGAGAAAGAAAACAATGTTGAATGCTGAACAGTTGTGGTGGAGTTCTCTCAAAGTTGTTGGGAGCAGCAAGGCGTTTTTTCCGTTTGTACCAAACAAGATGCAATTAGAGCTTATGATATACTTCCTTTAATTTTTATTATAAGATACTTTCAATCTTTTTACATATATTAAAAAAAGTTAATTTTTTTATATTATAAAAAAGTAATATGTACTTTCATTTTTATCTTTAATTTTAAATAATAATATAACTATATTAAACACTTTTATACTTATGAGTAAGGGGTGAAATTGAAAAAAAAAAGTAGTTTAATCATTATAAAGTATCCTATATTTTAAACTAAAAATTACTTTTAAAATATATTTTATAAATATAATCGAAGCCAATATATTTATGTATAATACGAATATTTATTTTCTTAGGAAAATTTATAGCCGTCCTGTAGTTTTATCATATTTTTTAAGTAGGTCCCTGAAATGTTTTTCCTTTTTATCCAATCCTCATCGTTTCATCCGTCTGAGGTTTTTCCTTTTTATCCAATCCTCATCGTTTCATCCGTCTGAGGTGCTCATCTCTGACGTTAAATGAGGATCAACTGGCCTTGTAACAGCATTTGTGTCTGTTTGAGGGTGCTGACATGAATGATGACCTGTTCATCTCCATGTATAGACTATATTTTAAAACAGGATAAGGGTTTAAAATGTCCCTCAACTAAGCAAAAAGGGTCAGGATTACTCTTAAAATTAAGAAAGGGTTATTTATATCCCTCAACCTCTAAAAATTTCATCATTAGTGGGGCCACATTTGATTTTTTTAATATTTTTAATGGATCTCACCATTTTTTAATAAGATTAAGAATCTAAAATGCCCTTCAACTAAGCAAAAAAGGTCAAGATCGCCCTTAAAGTCAAGAAATGGTCATGTATATCCTTTAACTGTTAAGGTTTTTTATTCCATTATCCTACCGTCTATTTCATTAAATTTCACCTTTAATAGGGCCCATATTAAAAATTTTTAATATTTTTAATGGGTCCAATTACTTTTTTTAATATTTTTAGTAGGTCTCCTAAAAGCTTAAGCCATATCTTCAAGTGAGTCCCTGTTCATGCTTGTGAAAATTTAAACTTCACACTACGGCTCTTTGATGGCTCCAAACTTGATTTTTCTACTATAATTTCTAACATTGCCCTCAAAACTATCATTCCTAAATAGTGCAAGAACTCCATCAACCATTGCAAGAGCATGCTTCCTGTAACACACCAAATTTTTTTTTAAAAAATAATTTAACTCAACCATAGTTGGGTTACAGTCACCCAACACATTTTTTTTATATCAATAATTTCAATATAAAATATTTTATAATTGGCTTCAACTCGCACAATACAACATTTCATATAAATTTTTACCTCCCACTGCCACTAGGCTAAATCACATTTGTCCATCCTTATACTCCCAACAAGTAAAATAAACAATTTAGTCAATTTTCAACACAAGCCAGTTATTTGGCCTTATAATCGTGCCATTTTAACCAATCCAAAGTAAACCAAATATTAAAATTACAGTCATCCAAATTGTACCAAAAATAGAAATAGTTTGAAAGGCATGATTACATTTATATATTCATATAATTGACAATAAATAAAAAAGTCCTAATATTGGCAATATAACACATTATAAATCATAAATTAAATACCCAAAAGAGACAGTGGATCTATAACACTAAGCCTCTGGGACTTCTCCACGTGTCACTCGTGGCTCTTCTCCTGAAAATTGTTAACCACATAATGAGACTCAAAAGTCCCAGTAACCAAAGCCAATTTATGATAGTGTATACAAACAGTTAAGTGTGTGCTTACTAAGTGAGAATAAAAAATAATATAATTCCAACAAATATAAGAAATATTACAATACACACAAATAACCATCCTTATATCCCTCCATTAACCTCGAGCCGTAGCCCTCACTCGGTACTAAATTACCCGGCCAAAAGTAGATTAGCCCGAGCCCTTACAAGCCACCTATTGAGCTCCAATAGGGGCGTACCACGTGGCACATAAATACAAAAATAATAGCAAGTCTCCCAACACCTCCCACAATAATCAAACAAATTCATAATAATATTGCACAATATACAATATAAAAAAATTCATAATTTTCTCAATAATCACCCAATTAACATGAAGTAACACTAATCATAAATTAAAAGCATGGTTACCTTGTGGCTTTTTCAATAAATTATTCCTTAAAATTTCTCTCTCACCACAATCTTCACCAGTAATACAATCTACAAATAACATATTAGTTATAAATATTAGTTTCAATTTTTGAAACTAATAAAATAATTCTAATAATAGAATTAAAAATATAACATAATTCCTAATCTCAATCTTAATACAAA